CTCCATCTAAATCATAGGTGTCAAACTCACCACATCATGTGACTTGTGAAGTATCACGAAGTTTTTTGTGTTGCTGGAGCTGGGGTGGGCACGGTCTCCATATGATGCTACAAGCCCGCGGGCCGGCAGTTTGACATCCCTGATCTAAACTGTTTATGAAGATATTGAAAAGTACTGGGTTTAAGATTGAACCTTGGGATACCCTGCTGGTACTTTGGTACTTTTCTACTAGGTACAAGAATCCTACTCTCAACATCATCAGCCACAACTAGCACTGCCCTTGGGAGATTCACATTTTGCTCAATGGTGGGGCTCTCCAACAAGCATGGAACTAAGGTATGGGGGAACAGAGGGTAGAGGATCCACGCTTGGCTAATGAGAGGAGGAAGGAGCCAGAAGAGAAGGAGAAAATTCCCTTTTCCATTCATCTGGCGGCAGCAGTAAATCACTGTCTCTCTCTGTCAGCCTTTTTTAGAGGTGTAACAAAGGAAAAGCTGTGGAGGAAGCAGTTTTCCAAGTAACCTACTTACCTCCTTTTGTTCAAGGAGAAGAGGATTGCATCTTGCCAGGAGTGTGGGGAAAAGCCTTGAGATGGTAATAAGGCAATCATTTTAAGGAGGTATGGTACCATTAAGATTTATTTTTACAGCCCGTAATTGATGAAAATAGATGTAAAAGAAATTTTACATCAAAAAGAGTTCCTGACATCAAAGTCAAATCCTACTACCTCATCCTAAATTTTTAAGAGACTTTCAAGAAGGTCTTGTTGTCTTTGATTTGATAGAGAATTACTTGACTGGGCCTTTTATGTGAGCTTGGTAATGGCAGCTGGGGAAGAGGGAATCAGTCAGCATCCATTTGAAAAAAAAACCAAAAGCTTAAAAATATGATGTTGTTGTTTCCACTTCTCCCCCATCTACTTTACTCTTAATATCCTGAAATGAAAATTACAAAGTTAACACTCCAGAATATCAAACAGTAGTATATGTAGTGAAGTGGCCTTATCAGTGCCATAGATGCCATATAAATTTACTCGATAAATAAATAAATAATACTTAAGCAGATATGTTATAAATCTTTTGTCATTCTTTCTCCAGAACTACAGTGGAACTTCTCCTTGCATGACAAGAGTGTGCTGTAAAGGGAGTTGCAATGATTTAAAATAAAGTCTCCATCACATTCTGTCTGGCCATGCTACTTGGAAAGAAGTGTCTAATTTTTCAAATTGGAGAAAAGGTAAAATTGCTTGGTAAATTCATATCAATCAATCAATCAATTTTTATTAAGGTCACAGACCAGCATTAAATTCATATCTATTTGCATGAGTCATTGTAACCATAAATTTCAAGGTTGGAGTCCTGCTGTCACACACACATGCATGCATATCTGCAAGGATCCTCATGGGTGGGTACAGTTTTTACAAAAGATTTTCATGAATTAACCATCATATGGAATATCCTTCAATGTGAAGAATAATTTGCTACCTAAATCTGACATAGAATTTATTTCTAATTGGAAATTGTTCTTCGCATAGAACAGGGATGTCAAACTGCCAGCCGGCTGGTTGCATCATACAGAGGCCGTGCCCACCCCAGCTCCAGCAATGCAAAAAAAGTCACGATACATCGCGATGTCACGTGACGCAGTGAGTTTGACACCCGTGGTGTAGAACAATAGAGGCAACCATTCATATAATGTTATCCAGGATGTTATGTCACATCTGAGATTTAGGATTTTTTTCCTTATGGTATCATATTTCAGCTTGTTCAGTAGTAAATTAATAATTATGTATTGTTTTTATTAATGATGTGTGGCATGTCAACCAAATAGGTTCAGCTTAAAGTTCAATAAGGATAACTTAAAACTTTTGCATTTATGTTCTTTTAGATAAGATTTTTTGACAGTCAACTTAAAGATACAATCTGTCAGCAAGAATGAGATATTGAATTGCAGATCTATCATTTGTATTCTTAATTATTTTGATGTGTATATAATACATGTTTTTATATCAGATGCAGAAAGATCCCACATTTGCAAATCAGTATGTCATCACAATGAGGCATCTGGATTTTCAAAACCATCATATGCAAAAAACATGGATGTGATGCATCGCAGATTATTTTTTTAAGAAGTTTGCATGAAATCATTGTCAGATTACAGATCACATCATTTGCACAGAATGAATCATTGAAACATAGATTTGACTTTTTATTTCTCCATACTAACCCTCAGGTATATATGATACATATTTTAGCATTAGATTCAGTCAGATCCCATGGAAAAAATTGAAATGAATGTCCCTGCCTTGAACTTATACCTAGTATTATTTTATTGCTACTTTGCTACCTCAAGTAATGAATTTGTGATTGTAATGATTTATTCTGTGCAGACAAATCCCTTGTACAATCAGATAGTTATATGAAGATTATCACTTCAGATCTGAATTTGTGTACAAGGTTATTAAAACCTTCAAATCAGATTGTAGGGACTCTGTGTGCAGATGAATATATCTATAATTTTATAATAGGTCTAGCTAAATCTAAGTATCATATGTAGAGGATCCATACAGTATTTTGGATTCATATTTTCATACCATGCCAGTATCATAAAATGAAGGATTCATGATAATCATTATTCATGTCATCTAGACTGTGATTTAATTCTGGTCTCCTGAAGATCCCAGGTGAAAATCTATGTGAACGCAGATCCCTGTTTTTGTACCAGAGCAAATACCTATCTGATCCATAGCTTTAATGGCTCATTGCATGCAGAGTAACATGGATTTTATTGTTCTTGCATGTGAAACACACATACAAACCATATGTAATTAAGTTGATAGAATGACTTGCATTCATGGTTTTCTGACACAGAAATCTTCAGATTTTTATTGTCTAACTGCACTAAACACTAACAGATGCTCTATATTATTTGATATTAAATCATGTGGACTCATAGTTCTGTAACTGGAATAGTAATCTGTCTCATTTTGAGGCCCTGGTGACTTCAAAGTTTGAATGTGTGGCTGTCATTGTCTGCAAATATCTCTGATTTTATAGTTTTATCAGGTTCCTATGTGAAATCATTTTGGTCCACAAAGCGCCATGACTCATCTCCACATTTTAGTGATATAGCACCTCCAAAATTGTTGGGTTCCTATGTGTAAATGGGTGTAATATATGTGATTGTGGTTTCATGAGGATTGCAGATTTAAAAAAAAGTGTGGTTCTGTGAAGATATATACACCAAGATCTATATTTTTGTGCCATGATGGTACCAGAACCATTGGATACAAAATTTTGAAAGCACCTTCAATGTAAGTGGATGTGATTTGATGGTTTCATGTGAATCACCTGTAGTTTGTGCACAATCAAGAGGATCCATTCTTTAAAATCATCTATTTGATAAAATAATCAGATCCTTGATGGCTAAAGTTCAATGCATGTAGACATTCTATATTTCATACTGATTTTATATGCATCCTATATAAAATACGTAAATTAAAATGAGCTTTTTGAGTTGAATCAACATTTTTGTATGACATGATTCTTTGCATGCCAATAGATATGATCTGTGATTTGATGACGATTTCATGTGGATCCCATTTCAAAAAATGTTTCCTAACTGTAGCACTTTTTCGCATAAAATGAATGTGATCTGTTAATAGTGGAGTTCTTGGGAAAAAAACAATGATATGTGTCTCAGATCAAGGTATTTGTCTTAGAGCACTGCCAGATCCATGGTGATCAGGGATTTTTTTTGTGTGTGAATGTTTCCATTCTTTTTTTTTTAAGGCAAAATCAAGAGGATACACCCCTCTGATGCACTTATTTTTGATACATGACAGTGCCAAAATTCATCCAATCCTGATTATTTGAATTATGTGTCTGCAGACAATTTATTATTTATTCTAGGGGGATCCCATATCAAAATATTATGAAATTATCTCTACTCAATTTCATGTATCCAGCTTCCACCTAGACGTCAGAACAAGATCCAATTTTTCAGCTCATAGTTCACAACTCAATTATTCTGCAGCACCTCACTGAAATTACCATACTTGTTTCTGAGCGATGCTAAACCTGGTGGAAACCGCTGAACTGTAGAAGCTTGTATTTGTTTTCTTTTCCCTTTCTCACCTTTTCAAACATTTAATACAAATAAGGAAAAAACGCAAAACTTTAATTTTTGAACGTGCTGTATTTCTTGATGGATTTCCTAACGAGATCATTTGTCCGTTGGGTGATTCTACCTGTACACTCCTAAATCCAAGCCAAGTAAGGTGACCCCGTTACGGATTAAGATGGAAGATCGTCTGAGCACTCCAGGATAGATGGCTGCACCGAAAAAGCTGGGAAATCATCCCGTAGGAGGCAATAGAATGATAAAGTCAGAAGTTGGATTCCACTTTATTTCTTAAGAATCGTGAGAAAATGAAGAGCGAGGATGAAAGTTACCACTTTGCCGACGCGCATTACGAAATAATTAGAGGAGACGTTCTTACAATTCCCGCACCGGATGAAGAATTTCGATTCCCGGGTTTAACCGGCGTTCTAAAATGCCTAGAAGCCGCTGAGCGCTGAAAAGTCGAAACCCCTCGAAACATTTCAACTTATTCGGGAGCCGATGTCGGATGCAGCCACACGTTTTAGAGCCCTGAAGAACGTCGCTGGCGCGTCCCACGAATGTGGGCTGGGCCAGGCAAGCGTCATTCTTCCCTCAAGGTTTAAACTTCAGGACACCCCCTCCCCCTCCCCAAACTCGGTCCTTTCGTTCACTCTAGTCTTCTGCAACCCGGTCGTCGAGAGACCCAGAAAGCGACGCACCAAACAATAGGCAAAAGCTCGGCTCCCTTTCTCCGCCAGAAGCTCTCAAGCCCCGCCTCCCCCCTTTCTCATTGGCTAACTGGGAATTTGGGGAGCCCCTGAGCAGGGCGTGGGAAGGCGGGGCCGGTTGCGCGCGCGTTGCATTGTGTGCGCTCCAAGTGAAGCTCTGGGCTTTCGGGGGTGCGCGCGTTCCCGCCGAAACTGGGGGGGACGGCGGTGGCAGCGGCGGGTGAGGTGGGGGGAGCGCGCGCTCCCGCGGACTCTAGCCTTATGCAGGCACAACGCTGGCTCCGCTAAGAACAAGTCAGAGGTGGCGGAAGAAGCGGAGGCGGCGGCCGAGGAGGAGGGAGCCGAGCGGAGCCAGTCGGCGCCATGGAGGAGCTGAGCAGCGTGGGAGAGCAAGTCTTCGCTGCCGAGTGCATCCTCAGCAAGCGGCTTCGCAAGGTGGGCAGCGAGGCGGCCGGCAGCAAGAGCAGCGACGCCGTCGCCCGCCGCCTCGGCTCCCTCTAACGCTCCTCTTTTCTTTTTCCTCTCCCTTCTCCTCACAGGGCAAGCTGGAGTATTTGGTGAAGTGGAGAGGCTGGTCTTCCAAGTGAGTCGGACAATGAAGCGAGCAGCTGAGCGCCAGCCAGCCGTTGAGCTGAGGGGCTCCAGGGCGGGGCTTGAGGGCTCGGGGATGCTGGGCCCAGGCGAGCGGGGGACTCGGGCGAAAACAAGAGGCGGGCGGCGCGGCTGCAAACCGCCAGCCGAAGCGGAAGGGAGGCGGAAAGCCTGGGCCGGGGGAAACGCCTGCAACCTCGGCTGGACTTACGAGCGCTTAGAAGTTACTCTCATTTGTTACGGGTGTTTTTACTCTTCCGTCCTCCCCGGGAGTGTTTCTTCCCGTCCGACCTTCTTTTGTTTAGTAGTAATTAGTTAAATTTGCGCCCCGTTTCTTTATTGGGTGGCTCTGCCGGTGCCGGCTTTCGATGAAACTCCCTTGTTTGGCTTGGCTCCGATGTGTTGCTTGTTGCTTTGCCGCTTCTGCTAAACGAACTTCTAAGAAGTCCGTGGGCCGCCTTCGCCTCCCTGGTTGTAACCGGGACACGGTGCGGGTGGGGAGGGGGGAGGTATAGCCCTGCAGGAGCGTAAAGGCTTCTCCGCAGAAATGGCAAAAGCTTCCTTTGCTCTCCGTTGATCCGCTTCTGAACCCCGATCTTCCCTTTCGTGCATGTGGTGGGGGTCCTCCACCCCCACACTTGTGAAGAAGGGGGAAAAGGGTTGTCAAGACCAAGAGAAGCTTCTCCCTTTACCCCTCCTGCCAGCTACTCCTGAGAGCCAGCCTTCCCTCTGCTTTTATCCTTTTCCTGCTTGGTTTCTCTTCTTACACCCCAGCCCCCTCCCCGCACACGTGCTCAAGTTATCCATAATGCATCTCCGTGTGCTCCTTTTTTTTCCCTGATTGCCTCCCATGCCTTTTCCATTAAGCAAATTGAACGGGTCCAGTCATAAAACAAAGCACAAACTTTTCATCGATTTCATGAATTGCTGCAAAAAATTAAATTTCATCCAAGAATTAAACTAGTGCTTATTATTATTCAGCAAGTTGTCTTAGGTCCCCTGGCCAAGACAGTCTTTAATTAATTATTACTTTCAAGCCAGCTTTTCCTCTGATGGCCTCTAGTTTGATTAAACTGCAGCTCTCATTACTCCTAGCCAGGAGGACAGGAGTGTTTCCATGTTTGGGGTTATGGGACTTGTAGTAGCCCAACAAATCTGGGAAACAGCTTAGGGAGAGGTAAAGTGTGCACTGTACTTCTGATAGGCTTTGCCTCAAAATGCAGCACTACAATAAACAAAACCTCTAATTGAGAATTGTATGTTGTAAGAAAGCAGGGTATATATCCTAGTGAATGATTTTGTTCTTTTCTAGGCACAACAGCTGGGAACCTGAAGAGAATATTCTTGATCCAAGACTCCTCTTGGCTTTCCAGAAGAAGTGAGTAAGCCACCAACCTTGCTGAGAGGTGGGAGGAGGGCTTGTTCTAGGCAGACAGGCTGAAATTGTGGAAACTCTATTGTTCCCCCAGATTGAAGCCCATTGGCCTATTTTTCCTTGATACCCAAGTACTGTTTTAAGGGCCTGGTTAATGAAGAAAGCTCAAGTGTAAAGTTGATTTTTGATGCTTTTAGACAGGGCTTGATTGTGTTTCATGTTTCTTTGCTTCTGAATTCAGCATAGGAGTTACTGTGTAGATTTCATTCTGTACATTGATAAACTATCCAAGCTATTATGAAAAAAGGGCCTGTTATGTTGCATTGAAGTGAAGAGGATTTAGCTCTGTCTCACTGGATGCTGAGAAGAAGGCTGCTATAGCTAACTTGGTGCTTAAGACTTCTATTAGCACCTAACAGCTGCCTATAGCTTGACTTGTTCCTCATGCAAGTTTTATGGATCTTGAGAAATTATAAAAATTGTTGCTGGTCAGAAAAGAAGATACTAAATAGTATATTCTCTGAATATAATGTACACTTGCAGAAATATGTAGAATATTAAACAGTATCTGTGCAGGGTGGGTCAGAAGATTCAAATTGGTGGATGAGTCATCCCAATCCAAGCCCCATCCTTTTCTACATGTATTGAGGATGTGTGTGCACACAAAAGAGATGTGGTTCAGATTATGTCCACTTTCTTGCTCATTTTGCTCCAATGCAGGTGCCACTGATATTGGGAACTATTGAAGATGCATGATATTAGGAAAGAAATGTAAAGCTAAAATATCTGGCATACAAGAGAAAGGCTGTTTGGTGTTGGAAGGAATATGCTAGAGATGGAATTGTGTCCAGGGTGAAGGCAACAATTTTCTTCTTAAATCTATTAGCATGTAGTAGTTGTGCAGACTGCATAAACATTGAGAAGTTTATAAAATGCTCCAAATTAGTCAAGTAGGTAAAGATACTAAGTGATATATTCCCTTAGTACAAAGTGTGATAACAAATATGCACAATAATTGGAAAAGAATGGAAAGCTAAAGCCATGGTCATATAAGAGAAGTGTGTCGAAGGAATTGGCAAAAGTGAGCAAATACATGTTTAGACTGGCAGTCTGCATCGATACACAAAATAAGCCGTATATTTGTCCTTTGGCTCTGGAACAGCATCCCCGGAGATCTGTATGTGTTCCATCCTAAGCATCTTCCAAAAGTCTTTGAAAACTTGGCTTTACTCCTAGGCCTGAAGATAGGTAGCTACTAAGCTCCAGTTTGTTTCTCAGGGGTGAACATTCCAGACATTCATAAACTATTTCTTCTGTTTTTATTGTCAATGAAGGTTCTCAATCATCCAGGCAGAATTGTCTGGAAGTTGAGTCATGGCAACAGGACTTGTTTTCTTGTTGATTCAAAATGTTTTCCTGCTTTTCCAAGTAGCTTCTTCAGTCTGAGCAAGTTAGTTAGGGGGACACAGCATATGTCCTCCGGGGAGTCCCCCTAGCCAACTTGTTTAGGCTGAAGAAGCTACTTGGATAAGCAATGAAATGTTTTGAACCAACAAGAAAAGAAGTCCAGCTGCCATGATTTAACTTCCAGACATTTGTTTTTATTATTCCTTACTTTTAAAATGTAAACGGCCCAGAGTCAGGTGGCCTTTAAATATAAAATAAATACACTGATAGTCACCATTTTCAATGCTTTATCACACTCATGGACTACAAATTCTAAGAATAATATATCGCTGCATCCTCCCACCAGAATTTCCAGTGTGATTCAAGTGGTTGACTATGCAGGTTTGAGCAGCTTTCAGAGTTCGTACAACTGTAGTTTCCTGCACATATTTTTGGAAAAACATAAAACTGATTTCCTGTGCAAGTGGCTGTTACAAGATTTATAGATTGGGCCATGCCTTCTTCTTCTTGTGTGCTGTTTCACAGTGAAAAGTGGAACTTCTACCTCCTGTAACATATTATAGATTTGATTTTGTCTTCTGTGTTCCTTAGTTATTTTATCTAAATTTTAATTCCAATAATATAGTTCTAGAAGAAGATTGCTAAAAATGGCATGGAAATACAGTATATGAATTATATAAAAACAACTTAGCATGTAGTATATGAATGCTAATAAATACATTCCTGAGCAGGGGGTTGAACTAGGCAGCCTCCAAGGTCCCTTCAATTCTGTTATTCTGTTAAATGTATTAAAGCTGAGAAATTATTCTCTAAATGGGGATGATGAGAACAAGAGTAAATAAGATAAACTTTGTAAAACAATATAATTATCTGCATGAGATGTGTCTACTAGGCCTGGAATTAAAAATATTAAATAAATCAAAGATGTATCTGTTAAATGTCAGCCAAGAAACTGAAATCTTCATGTTCAGTAGCTTTGGCATTAACAAATATTGCTGTTGATGCCATACTTGTTCTTTCCTATGGGTATCTAGCCATTGTTGGATTGTAGAATAATGTTGGAGTATTTAATTCTACTTACTGTGTGCAATTTTACTATACAACTTCATAAAGTTATTAAAAATAAAGTATCAGAGAAAAATAGCAACATAAGGACAGGTAAATAGAGTTATTTCAAACTTTACAAATGTATATATGTTCCCAAATTGTAATTCTGCTGTTCCCTCTGTTTTTGTTTCTTAATCTATGCAATTCTTATAACTTAAGATAGTTCAAGTGATAAGCTGAATTGAGCTTCCTGGATATCCAACAAATGAAGCACTCAGAAGTAATAATAATGAGATAAGGGATTTTAACATCCGTGGTACCAAAGGAATGGAAGATATATGACATGTACAGTGCTGGTAAACATTGTCATCATAGATATCCATGTAGACATATTAAGGGAGGAGAATACTTTGGTTGAGTACTATCTCCCTTCAGTTGATGGGCACATTCTGTTCTGTGTACAATATTTACCAATCAGTCCAAAACTTGGTGCAAGAAATTTTCCTTCCATTCACTTCAGAAATTGTTACCCCAGTGTTGACAACAGCCTTACAGATATCAATATGCCAGTGTTTAGCACTTGTAGCTCACCTCGCAAGCATAACCTACATGTATCTGCCTCAAACATGTCTTAGAATAAGCATGGAAAGTATCTTTAGCCTGACATTATGCAAAGAGAGTTCAAATGGAAGAATGATGGGAACATATGAAGAAGAGGCATTCTGCACAGAAAGGGAAGGTTGGTCCACAAAACCTCCTGATCTTGCAACACATATTACTAACCAATTTTGCCTAGAACCCTCAACAGGTACTTATCTTGGCATTCCAGTCACATTTGTCCGGCACCAAATTCTTTTTCCTGAGTTGAAGAACAAGACAGCATTGCACACAGGTAAGCATGGAAATGAGGAACATATGTTAAACCGCATCTCTCTCCCATGCCAATTCCCAATCCCTTTGCTATATTCACAAAACATATTTGCATGGGCTGTGTTGTTCAGCAGTAGAAGTTCTCATTCCTAGATACCAAGGCAAAGATTGGCAAAGATCAGGTGTTTCATTACAACTGCTGTACATGAGCGCCTTTGCTTTGCAAAATTAAAAGTTACATACACTGGACAATACACACAGTCTTGCACTGTAGGGTGAAATATACTCAAAAAAATTTAACAGTCTCCTTGTCACAGAGGATGCAACTTCAGGGAGGGCTTGAGGATTGTCTAAGCAATCAAGGACATCGTTCACTCTTTCTCTTGCCCAAATATTTAGTGTATGTCCAGATTAAGGGGCCATAGGCTCCTGCTGTCTGTTGCGAGTTCCACTTTCTATGTTTTCCCTTGCTGTCCTACAGGTACAGGTTGATGGACAAGATCAGAAAAGAAATGTAACCTTTGACTATCAGCAAAACGCAGGATTTCCCCAGATGTTCTTCAGTGAGGTATTGACCAGCCTCTCCAGGCAGATTTATATACCTCCAGAGCAGACAGTCATACAATTTGCTGCCCTGCTGTCTGTTAAGCCACTGTTTCCAATGCTCAAGACTCTGCTCTTTGTTTCTTCTGAGGCAGCTCTATTCCAAAGAGACTGATCAATAAAAGCCCTGACATTGTCCTATGCATTGTTTGTGTTTTGTTACAATGGAACAGTGACTAAGACTTCTTTTTCCATAGACATTGTAGCTATGGATATTGAGAGTTTTAGGTCTACAGGCCTGAAGAGTATTAGGTTGAAATAATTGCCAAAATATCTGCCTCTGTCTAAGGCAGAACAAGAAAATACAAAGAGTTTGGTAGACTCAAGACTAGCCATGTGACCTACTTGATATGCACGCTCTCATCTGTGTGCTGAGGGAAATCTTTTCTGTGTGTACTGGTGGGATAGATGCCTGGATCAATTAGTAGAGAATCATCAGGAGGACATGGGATACTTGCGCAAGAGTGCAAAGTTGGTCTGGCCAAGGATGGCAGAGGCTAAAAAATGAAGGATGGCCTCTCATAAGCAATAATCCATGTGTTGCCATGCTTCATCTTGTTATGCAGTATCCTTCAGTAGAGACCCCTTTCTATACTTCTACCATGTTTTCCCAAAAATAAGACTGCATCTTTTATTAATTTTTGCTCCAAAAGACGCTTATTTTCCAGTTAGGTCTTATTTTCAGGGAAATACAGTACTAAATAGATCCGTTTCTTTTTAGAGTGGGGCTTACATTATGAGCATCCTGAAAAATCACGCTAGGGCTTATTTTCCAGTTGGGTCTTATTTTCGGGAAAACACAGTATGTGTAGGGCAAAACATATTTTTCTGCCAAAACTAGGGGTTTTTTTGCACTTGATTCCTGTGGTTACTATCTAAAGTTTTAGGGGGAGAAAGAAACATTGCTCCTTGGTTGTTTTGATGTAATGATTAGCTAACAAATTATGTGGTGTTTCTAGCATATTGTGCTCCCTTTTTTGTCCTGGCACTTTCTTCCCGGATATCAAAGAAAATGACTGGCTGTATTTTGCTAGCACTTCTCCCCTGTAGAACTTATACAATCTTTTGTTCAGCCC